TTTCTTTCTTTCTTTCTTTCTTTCTTTCTTTCTTTCTTTCTTTCTTTCTTTCTTTCTTTCTCTCTCTCTCTCTCTCTCTCTCTCTCTCTCTGGTGAGCATTGTTGGCAGACACTGCCGGGAGGTGGTGTTTGTAACGTTCCGATGCTGGGTGAAGTCCTGCAACTTTTCAAGGTACTCCTCTTGCCTTTCCTTGGCCTTGTCTTCAAACTCCTTTTTGTCCTCTGCAGACATACCTCCGGGCAGAAGGATTTGGTCGATTTCAAGCCTTTCAGTTTGGACCTGTTTCGGTGGTTGGACCTGAGCAAAACACGGCCCCTTTGATCTGGACGCTGTGGGCATCAATGTCCCAAAAGATCCAGGGACCGTTTTGACCATGGGTTCTTACAAGAAGATTTTCTTGAAGAATTTGAGCGGTTCTGCGTCCTTGCTACTTGCCAATGTTTCAAGCTAACTTGTTCTTCGTATGAATCAGCTACCTGGTAGCTTCCTCCTTTTGCCGTCCCAATCGGTATTTCGCCTCGGTAGATTTCCGCCATCTTGCCGTTCAACTGGAGGCCCTGGGGAACAATCGATGGCGATCGTTTCCTGGGGGCAACTGGGCAGTCGTTCGGTGACTGCAGCGACTGCGCCGGCCTTCAGGCCCGGAAACTGCGCAGCATACTCGCTGCGCTTCTCGTTGCAGAAAAGCAATGTGGCATTGGGTGGCCTAGCACTTTGCAAAACAAGAGAGAACACTTTCAGTCAAAACAAATGGAGGCAGTGATATGTGGAAGCACATTGAGAGGCCGAGTGGTAGTGTGCAAAGTTATTCGTGCACCCAAAGAGTCCACTCAAAACTGCACTGAAGGTCAGGTCGAGTTGGCTTCACCTTAGTACCCACTGTTCATCATACCATGAATGGGCTGGTGCCACAAATCAAGATTTGAGATTGTCCCATTGGCAGTTTAGCTCCCAAGTCCCAAGCTGTTTACTGTTTCCCAACTCGCCCTGTTCACTCTGACTTAAGCAAGCTCAACGTGGATTCTTGCATGGCCCTTGACAACTCAACGTGGATTCTCAACGTGGATTCTTGCATAGCCCTTGACAATTCAATGCGTGCCTGCATACCGTCGCAAAACTTATATTTCTCTCCATCGCCACTTTATTGTGTGTGTGAGCGCATGTGCACACGCTGGTGAGCAAACCACCTCCAGGTAACACAGCAGAGTCCGTTTCATTGTTTAGAACCCAAAAGCGAGATACAAAACAGAGATTCCAATGGTCTTTCACAATGTCTTCACCAACCATCGGGTTCTCCCGCATACCACGCCTTTTGGGCTCATCCTTTAAAAACTTATGCCGGGCATTTGTGAGCTTCCGCCTGGGCTAGCAGGAAAAAACAGCTTCACACTGGTCAAGCGCGTCAAGGTTCAGTTGGTTGCCACTTTGGCTAGGGAAATGTCTGTGTGGCGTCTGTCAAATCGACAAAGAAGAAGAAAAAGAAGCGTCTGCGATCAAAGCTGCCTTTTCTCGAAGGCTCTCGTCTCTTTGATGTACTTCTTGCCCTCCTCGGTGCTCTTCCATTCTTTCATCTGGTCCTTCGCCATCAGACAAACACGAAGAAGGACGAAGGAAAGAAATGGAACATGTCCAAATTTTGTTCGGCATTCACGGGTCTCCGTCTCGGAATGTCTCAGAAGCACGCAAACCGTCACAAACCAGTTGTTGCAGAATTGAAAACCCGTTCCTCAAACTCTTTCTTCGCTTCTTCAGCTCGCCCTCTGTACTTGGCCTGCCAGCGCAAAACCAATTCTACTCACCCAAAATGACCTGATGAGTGGTAAATGCACCCAGAGCCTTCTCCTCTGCAGGGAGCTCTTGGAAAGCCGCGACCAATTCAGAAGTCTTCTTGCCAGCGCCCAACTGGCCAGGTGTCACGGTCTGCACTCAAAGGATGACAAACTATGGTGGCCCCTAGTAGCTACTTGCTACTAGTAGTACGGCCAGGAGCCCCAAGTAGCGTCCTTGCTCCTAGTAGCGATGCCAGGAGCCCCTAGTATATAGCTTCGTGTTCCTAGTAGCAGATTCGGCCAACCTCAAAGAGGCAAAACTGCAGAAAGGACTCGGAGTGATGGAATCAAAGAAACATGGAGCGTTCCTATAGCATCCGCTGCAATGCCAATGAAGCATTTGCACAAGAAAGTTGCACAAAAACCGTGTGTGAGAGAGCATTGGCTCCCTGTTCATTTTATACTTTCCGTATTCAACTGCTTCTTGGCCTCATCCTTGTAAAGCTTCAGGGCATCTGGTGGCTTTGCAGGCATGGTGCCAGGCTTCTTTGGCGCACCTGGGCTGGCAGCTCCATGCACAACTCTCAGCTCTTAGCACAGGCCACAAAACACAAGTGTTATTTGATGTTGTTTGATGCATCTGAGTACGGCTGAATGTCATGTCCAAATGTGCCCGGTATTTCCTGGCCTGAGCTGGCCTTCGGCTTGTGCGAGAGTCGCTTTATGGTCGAGGCATACTTCTTGAAGTTCTCAGTCGCTTTGAACTCAGAAAGGTTGGCCTCCGAGAAAGGGGCTGGTGCACACTCAATCATGGCTTGGCTGCAAAAATGAGCCACAACAAGAAACTGAAATGCAAACTTATCCATGAGCAAAGCTGTGAACGTATATTGAATCTGCGGGGATCATCAACACGCTTCTATATATATACATATAATAGTGATTGCATCTCCAACGACAGCCGTGGAAAGCACGGTGCAACGGAACATGGTACACCAATACCAAAAAGCCCCTCGCCTCATATTCTGTCAAGAGTTGATTGCCCTTGTCTTCGTACACCTTTTTTTCCTCATCACTCAGCGCTTTCCTGAGATCAAATGCAATCGACCGCACGTCGCCCGTTAGGATCAAACGTCACTAGGCCACTGGGACCGGAGCACAAAGGTCTAAATCTCTTCAGAAAACATCGGCCATGTGTCCAGCTGTTGGTGATCTCGGCTTTGAGATCAGCACCTTTGAGATCGGGTTTGACCTGAGGAAAACGCGCAAAGCAGCCCCACCACGTGCCTACATTGGCCTACATGCACACCTATTCGCTTTGCAGCCGTCAGTGATCCTCATTGGGCTGATAGACTTGAGAATCCGAAGGATCCAGGAAAAGCTTCCAGAGCATGAAGAACGCGCGAGGGCTGTCTGTCTTTGTTCTTGTTCACTGCCGTGTTTGTGCGTGGGAATTGCAGGATAACACTAACACGTGAGCGATGCAGTGGCGCGCAGGAGCATCTTGTATATATAATACATTGCGCAGGCCTTGCATGCAAGAGTCTCACGCAATTCGTTCGGACAGAGATCCCAATGCCACATGTCGCCTCTGCCCACCATCTACAACACTTTCCCGGAAAGCAAACCGATGAGCAAGGAGTTTCATGCAGCATGGCCATGACCACAGAATGCTCACTGAATGTTCCGCCTTCTTTAGCTCCTTGACCTTGTCACGCGTGTAGAGCTGCAAGTGTCCCAAGGGCTTCTTCGGCATGTCCACCAAGAACTTGTCTTTGGCGATGGCTGTCCTTATTATTGTTTCTACTCGAGCTACTGCATCAGCTGAACACAAAGCATTGCTGTGCCTAAGAGGCACTCAGCCAAGAAGATCAGAGACTGCATCGCGTGGCAGCCCCAAGTAAATATATATAGATTCAGATAGAATACAATACGTACAGATCTCTGTTGAAGCAAGGATTGCAATCCCTTCCCTGATGTTCACGAAAAAAAGAAGCGTCAGGTATGTTGGTGCAGTTCAAATGGTCTCTTCTTGTGACAAGTCTCGCGCGGCTCTTCTGGATCTGTTTCACCTAGCATGGCCGCAGCTTGTAAAGCAATCTTCGCGCACTTGATAGCTTCTTTTGGCATGTGTAGTTTGGGGATCCTGTCCTATTCAAGTTGGAGTAAGAACCCAATCATGGAGAGCCCGGAGAGCATATCCACTACAGCTATGCCATGCAGCCATTTGACTTTGATTGTCATAGTGGAATACAGCTTCAGTTCATTCTTTGCGTGCTGAGTTTGTCTGGGGACGTTCTGTGAACTTTTCTAAATCATTGAATGAAACGAAATTGCGTATGGATGCATATGGCACCTTTTCCCACAGGTGCTACTAGCCAACTGGAAGTGGTGCAAATGTCTACGAATTCATCCATAACATGCCACAAGACTGTGTGCACAACAGGTTTCAAACGCATCTACAGGCACAGTGTTTGAAGGAAACTTGAAAAAAGCAGCGGCCTTCCTTACATACTGCTTCCCCTCCTCACTTGTGCGGAAAGCCTTGGGTATGCGAAGAGTGGACTGGCTTCTAGCTGTGACATCGTTCCACAATCCATACTCCATAGTAATAGTGTCAAATTACACACTGCATTGCTGCTCGTAACCAACTTCGACTACAAGGTGCATTGAGAGCCTCCTGATATTCAAGTGCCAGTTCTGCCTCCTTCTTCGAGTAAGTGCTCTTTTCCTGCCACGCTGACTCTGCGAAACATACTCACCGCGGCTCTGTGTGATTCTATTGAACCGTTCTATTTTGAGGTAGCAGCCATTTCCCTCAACAGGGCAACCTGGAATTCGGAGGAAAAGCAGTGTCGCAGGGACCACTCTCCCTTGGCCTGACTCAGCTTGGACTCGCCAATAGTTTAAGGCCAAGGCAGTCCTCTTCGCTTAAGGCATCCCACATCTCTTGCAACTTTGAGGGGTCGTCAACTTCTTTCCTTAGATGGATTGATACGAGGGTGGCTTCTGCTTGAAAAAATTGCCGGGCAAAGGAGGTGACAATTTAGTTCTACCGTGCATTGATTGGCGGGATTGGCTTCAATCCTTCGAGTCGAGGTGCCTCTTTTCCAGGAAGTAGATGCGTCTGGCTTTTGCAGGCTTGGTGGGCATGCTCTCCGGCCGGTCAGGCAGCGGTTGCAACTTCATGCCGTTCTTCAACTTCTTGATCCTAGGGCTGACCAGGCTGAGCTTGGCACTGGGCCACTCGGCGCCACGACCATCTCTCATCCACGTTTGTTTGATTTTGTTTGCCTGCGCCTCAGCCCTGCAATCTCTCTTGTGCCAAGGTTCGCCTTCTTCTTGCTGGACAGAAGCGACCGGACTGGAACCTTCAACGACTTTGCCTCTTCGATGTACTCCTCAAGAGCTCTATATGAGTAGTTGCCTAAGGCCTTAGCCTACTATCACTACAAACAGGCTGCACAAACCTGAGCCGCCGGTCCTTCCACTTTGGAAGCTCCATGTAAGCCTTTACTTCCTCCTCCCACTTCTTCCTCTTCTCCATTCGCTTCTCTTCATAGACGTTCTGAGCATCCTCGCAAACTCGGAAACTTGCTACAAAAATGCTACACAACTCCTCACGTCATGTCAGCTCTTGCAGCACACTAAACAAGCATTCCACAGTACCATACTTCTTGAAAGGCTATTCCGTCTTGATGAGAACTGCGACCTTGTCGAGCTTGCTCCAATCTGCCTTCAACTGAGCAACCTGCAATCCAGATGATCTCTCTCGCACCAACACTCTGGTGAGTCTACTAAACAATAAGAACCTGAGGCATCCTGAGGCCAGATTTTGAACCAATTTGGTGCTGGCATTGTAGCTTCAAATCTTCACGATGATTCTTAGCATATACGTGCAAAACCGCATGCATTGCTCAAACCTATCTTCTGACACAGCTCGAATTTGGGTTTGGAACTGGCGGCAAAAATTAACAAGTCCAGATGCAAAGGTTTTTTCCGTTCTGGAAATGCGGTGCTAAGCTGTGCATAGGGTTGCAACAGGCGGGCAAAAACTGAATCTGCTTCGGGAAGACCGGCCGGTATTGAAATTTAGCTGTGTAATATAAGTGCGACCAGCACATACCCTGCAAACCTTTAGCACATGTCTTTGCTAGTCGGGTGCGCAACTTCCTTGACAAAAGAAACTGGAAGCTACACATAACGCTCCCAATGTGCACTTGTTGCAGAACGAAGAAAGCGTTCCTTGATTGGTGATGCTGTGACTCTCACATCTGAAAATGGTGGCGGAGCTTTAGAACCCAATGTTTACCCAAGTGGGCAAGACCTCTCTGGTAAACATAACATGCCAGTGCAACACCTATCTCCCAAACAACAGTGTGGTTCATTGTCTTCTTCCTCGCCTCCTCCTTTATCTGCCCCCTGGTCCTTTTCTTGGGAGCTCCTGCCTCTCCAGCTGCACGCCTAAGGGTGAGAGAGAGAGAGAGAGCGAGCTGCACTGCGGGGCACAAAACTTTGCTTGAAATGCCTCGACTCAAAAGTAAACCGCCTCTTCTCCCCAACGTACTCGGCAAAGGCATTCTTCGGAGGTTCTGCGGGTGCGTCGCTGAGGAACTTCAATGTCATGACCTGTGGGGATCGACATTAATCATTACAGTAATCTCCTCTCTCTCTCTATACAGTATCTCAGTATCTCTCTTGTGTGAACTCTTGAGCTAGGAGTATCATCTGTGAGCACCAGCCGTACACGATATAAGGATACAAAATCAAGGTCGCGTGCAAATAACGGACCATAGCTTTCTGCAGCGTTGGTGCTCCAAAAGGATGCGCTTTTTGGTACTTTGTTGTTCTTCTTGAAAGGTCATCCTGTTCTACTTCTTATGAAACAAGAGTCTGGCCCTTTCCTTTTTCATCACAAAGGAAATCAGTCACTATTCACATGATACAGTATGTTTTCCGGATCCAAGAGCGACGAATCGCAACTTATACAATTCTCAATGAGACGACCGCGCAAAGAGCATGAAACCATCCAAAGCCTGGAACAACTAGTTGCTCGCAACCAACGTTGATGTCCCCCACCCACCCCACCCGGCACCAATAGCATCCAACACTCCACAACACCCACCAACTCCAACACGGACAACATGTGAGGCTCCCAGATGACACAAAACAGTTGGGGCGAACATGATGTCTACGAGAGCCTTCTTTTTCGAAGACTGTCCCCGGAGACCTTGGGCCGCACCTCTCACTTTGCAATGACGGTGCATATTGACAGCACCCCAACCGGCCATACTTTGCCATACTGGAAGCTTGCAGAGCACAACAACGGCTTATATAAAAATTTGAGCTGAAAGCCTGAAGACGCGCCTTCATCCCTTCCGTCATCAGTTCCCTCTTGATCTTACCATTCTGCTTCTCAAAGGTCTGGCAGTAGCAGAAGTTTAAAGTCTATTTTGGCTACAGTCTTTCTAAAGCTGTCCCCTTGGTGCTTGGCCTTGTAAGTCTCGCCCTCCTTATAGGTTTTCATCTCTTCATCATACTTTTCACGGAGCTCGGCCTCTTTCTGCTTGTAAATCAGCTTCCTTTGCAGAATCAGTCTCTTTCAACAACTGGTTTGGCCAAACGCTGATTGAAAAATGCTAACACCCAAGAATTCCACATCCAATCAAGTCATTTGTGTAGCGGAGACACTTTTCATCTTCCATTTCTTGGAACTTATTCTTCACAAAGTTCATGCCTTTGCCTCCAGCCGGATCCAGCTGATCACTGAGACCCCGTATCTTTCTTCGGTCACGTGCCTTCTCCTTTGCCAGTAGGGACCTCTTCCTTGATGTCTTCTCTGAACAAGGCGTAGACCTTAGCCGAACCCCCGCACATACTCAGAAGATGTCAGAAGGCTCTTGAGTAGTTTCTGGTGGTTCAACCAGGGAGCTGTCTTCGGCTTCTTCGGCATGTCCCGCAAATTCACTTGCCGGTTCTCCTGACACATTAAATCATTAAATGACACCTGATAAAACATCTGCACTTAAACAAAGCACAAAGCTACTGAGTGGATCCGAGTGGCGCGTGTTTTCACAAGTGAGCGCTTCTGCAAGAAGGTGATGTAGTTCTGTCGGAGCCAGCGGGCCGATGGGAGGATGATAATTGTCAAACTCGACACCCTACGAACAAGAAGCTACTAGGGGCTCCTGGCATCGCTACTAGGAGCAAGGACGCTACTAGGGGCTCCTGGCCTTACTACTAGGAACAAGACGCTACTAGAATGCAAGGACATGTGACAAACTAGGGCCTTCTGACGCTTGAAGTCCGCCACTTTCCTCAGGCACGCCCGCCAAACAAACTGGAATGGAATCTTGGAGAATAAACCTAAATATATCTATTCAGTCAAAGCTTGGAGAACTGGGGCCTCCCTCGGAGTGAAGAAAACATAAAAACAGAAAGAATTGAAGATGTAGAGACGATGAAGCAAGAGAAAGTACTGATTAAACTCGTGGAATGAATAGAGTAGTGGGCCTGAAATGTATAAGAGGCAAAAGAGGGCGGAAAAGAGGGACAAAGAAACACACCAAAGAGCACTGTAAAGAAAATCACAAAGCAAATTGACAAAAATGACGAAGGAGGCGAAGACCGGCAAAGCAAAGCAGGAAAATGAAAATTAAATACATACAAATAAATTCAAGTTTGACAAATAGAACGGGGAACTGGGTCCCTGAAAGGTAAACGACAAGGAACCGGTTCCAAGAATGAAGGACAAGAAAAGGATAGCAATCTAAAGGAACAACGCTTGCATAGACCCCCCCAAACAAATATGTATATGTTTGGTGGGCAGCAACAGCACCCTCCAGCACCCAAGCTCCAAAGTGCACACAGCCATGGACATCTCGCAGCGGCACGTCATGGACATCTTGTGCCATGGCCATGGACATCTCACAGCAGCAGCACTGGAGAAGCAGCCTGCAGCGGCACCCTGCAGTGGCACGCTGCACACCCAAGCTTCGAAGCGCATACAGCAGCGTCACCCTGCAGCGGCACCAGCACCCAGGCTCGAAAACGCACACATGCAGCTCTTCCTATACTTGCAGTAAGAACCCCAATAGCTCACGCTATCTGGTGAAAAACGGTGGACTAAAACAAAGGAATATAGTGGGGAAGGGATGGACAACCCAACAAGCTATTAGACAATTGCAGGGTTGCAGACTGGGAAAACAAAATGATACGAGGAGAAAGCAATTTCTTGGCCCTCGTGCTTCTTGTACTCCTCTTTCAGAGCGGCTGCCTGATAAAGAAATCAGTGGCTCTAAACCAAGCCAACTGGAAGGCCTTCGGTCTGACTAGCCTCATTCTCAAAGGGCTCTTTCTCCTCTGGGGTCGCGTTCTTCCATTTCTCGCCCATGATCTTGCCTTAAAGAACCAAACAAACAAATGGCCTCCAACCTACTAGCCATGGCCTCCAACCTAATAGCGATGGCCTTCAACCTAAGAGCGATGGCCTCCAATCTAAGAGCGATGGCCTCCAACCTAAGAGCGATGGCCTCCAACCTAATAGCGATGGCCTCCAACCTAAGAGCGATGGCGTCCAACCCAAGAGCGATGGCCTCAACCTAAGAGCAATGGGCTCCAATCTATATAAGAGCAATGGCCTTCAACCTAAGAGAGTGATGGCCTCCAACCTAATAGCGATGGCCTCCAACCCAAGAGCGATGGTCTCCAGCCTAAGAGCGATGGGCTCGAACCCAAGAGCGATGGCCTCCAACCTAAAAGCGATGGCCTCTGCCTAAGACCGAATGCCTCCAACCTATTTGCGATGGCCTCCAACTTTAAAGCGATGGCCTCCAACCTAAGAGCGATGGCCTCCAACCTAAGAGCAATGGCCTCCAACCTAAGAGCGATGGCCTCCAACCTAAGAGCGAT